GGGGGTTAGTTACCATTCCGATGCCGTGGGCGTCCACGGCGCCTTGCGATGCCGCGGTGATGACACCCATGACGGCCTTGCCGACCAGCACGGGCAGGTGGAAGGGGAGCACGGCGTCGTCGCGCGACCCGGGCTGCGTGGCGTGCGTCATGGACAGCTTCCACATCATGGCTTGTAGCCATTGCTGCGTGATCAGGATGTCGACTTTCTGGATCTCGGACACGCCTTCTAGCGAGATTTGCTTGGCTAGGCTGCATTGGATGGACGAAGTGGGTGGCGCCTCGCCGTCTGCGCTGCTGCCGCCGCCGGCTGACACCCAGTCGTACAGGTTTGGGCTGAGCTTCTCGAAGACGTTGATGAGATTGATGAAGCCGTAGGCGAGGATGGGGTCGTCGGAGCAGAGCACCTGCGGTTTGTGGATGGAGTTGCGGAGCATGACGGGCTTGGCTTGTTGTAATGCGTAGCCTCTGGGGGTTTGGTGTTAGACAGTGTGTGCGGTGGTTGGGGGTGTAGGGTTTCTTTATTTATATATATATATGTGTGTGTGTGTGTGTGTGTTTATGTTCTTTGTTCTTACCTTTCTGTGACGAATAGCAGCCAGAATACCCGCCTTTTCTCTTCGGCTTCCTCGACGCTTAATTTCGAGTATGTGGATTCGCGTTGCAGGCCAAGCGTGAAGACCATGGACATAGTCTGGCTGAGGTAGAACCAAGCCTGGTCCTGTCGGTCTAGGTTTCCGTAGGCGGCGAAGAGAAAGAACGAGGTGAGGAGGTTGTCCATGTTGATTTCGTCGACTACGTTGTACTCCTTCCTTGCGCGCACGGCTTCGGCCAGGAGTTCATCCCCGGACAACATGGGGTGGCCGTCGATAGTGGCTTGCCCGGAAGCCGAGTCGGGGCCCGGCGTTGCACCGTCCAGCTTCAGCTGGATGTGCGTGGCTGCGCAGAGAGCGGCAAGGAACGCGTAGCGCTGGGGAGACAAGCGCTCGGGCTGGTGGCTGTCCTGCTGCAGCTGGTCCTGTCTCACGATGGGCATGATGGGGAACAGGTACTTGAAGAAGACATTGACATGGGCCAGGAGGATTGGCGCGGAGAGGCGGCGCGGGGCGGGGAGCGCGCCGATGGTGGACGAGTCGAAGAGCGAGTTTGTCGAATCGGGCGAGGAGACGAGATCTGGGGGTGGGATGCGAGTGAACGACTCCGAGAAGTCAGGATGTGGATACTGGGCGTCCACGACTGTGAACGGCGGCGACGTCGGGGACGCCAAATGGCAGGCCCCTGGGTCTGGGGGCAGCCATTCCTTGGTGAGGGGACGCGGTCGTGAAGCGAGGGGATGGATGGGCGCGAGAGGGTACAGCGTGCGGAACTTGGGACCCTTGCGACGGAGCACGTCGCTGTAGGAGCAGGAGAGAAGAAGACGCTGGCACTTGTCGCATGGAAGCTCCCTCGAACACTTGATCTTGCGTCGACGGCAATTGTCGCACGCCTGTTTCGGCGGTTTTTCTGGGGTGGCGGATGGTTGTGGCTCCATTTCCTGTTCGGATTGAGGAGACACCAGTTGCGATGAGATATGCTCGGATACTATCTCGCCGATGTGGAACCTTTAGCAATCATTGCAGACCGCGAGCGCGACTAGTACTGGGAGAAAATCTGGGGATAGCGAAGTGGGCTGTGTCGCCATCACCAGTTGGGATGTTAGGATTGAAGGAAAAGAGAAGAAACCCGGGGAACCATACAAAACAAAAACCTAAACAACAAAAAAAGAATAATAAAACAAGCCCAGGATGCAGGTGCAAAAAACCCCGCGTTACGTTAGCAAGATGAAAGGGTTTAATCTACCTGGAGTGAGTCTTCTCCAATCTTTAGTCTGGATTTAGCCTGTGCCCTAAAAGTCTCCTAGCGTCGTTCCGAACCAAATGGAACAAATGGGAGGACCCGTCGGTAACAACTCGGTCCAAAGTCACATCGGATTCGTTGCGGAGTCGTGTTTATAGTTAACTATGTTATACCCCATCGAGGCTAACGGCCGCTTGAGAATGGTGGAAAGATGTGGTGAGGGAGCGTGGCAGGTGCAGGGAATCGGATTCATCACCACGGCACTGTGCGGAGAGTCTGTGCATAAATCAGCCTTAGCAAAGCCACCCGGCCATGCCACACCGAATATTAATCTACGTGGTCAGGGATCAAACCAAGGAATACAGGTTCCCGTAGTGGTTCTTCCAGGACGAAAGGAAGCACTTCCTGGACTTTGTCGGGTATTTCCGAAAGAATCGCGTACGAAGGCCGTATACAACATGTGGGGATGTCAACCGCTCTCGGGAAGCCGAGGTCAAGAGACAGGGCAATGAGTGGCCTTGAGAAGATCGTAACACCGCCGAACTTTCCTCAAGCCGATGACGAGAATCCACTCTTAGCAGGGGCCCCCTGGTCCCCACGGGGACTGACTTCCTGGCTCAAAGGCAATTCCCCCGTATTTGGAGCTTGTTGCCCATGTCAATCAGCCAATGCTGGCAGCCATCGGATGCTCCCGTCCTGGCACCACGAGCAATGGTGTGGACAAACCTCACCGGCGCACCGGAGGGGTTTAGACCCTTTGGAAGGCGAGGTGGGGAAGGGTGTCTTCGTGAGTATGGAGTGACTGGAGAGAGGGTCAGAGTCGCTTTCCAGGGCTCAAGCGTCGGGGTCGGGCATTTATCGGGGGATGGACCAATCAGCGCGGGCAAATCAGATGATCGGACACGGGACTTTTCCAACTACTCGACCGTCTTCCCTCTAGTATTCCGGTCTCGTCCTTTGCTCGGCAAATATTCATTTCATTTCCCATCGTCGGCTTCGCCGCTACTCTTTCGTCACGTCCCAAAGGTTGGATCATGTTGTCCCCACTCGGTGCGGGTGAAGCCTCCTCATTGCTGCGTAGGACCTAATCCCCCCCCGCATGGTCGAGAGATTGCAGGCATTCCCCCTCCGACGCTGGACGGGGAATCCCTTGCCTTCACAGAATGTAACACAAATCGTGAGGAATGGGGCGGTCGATGTGAGGCATTTCGACATATATATCTAGTGATATTTTCCGGTTCGGAGACGGCAGAGGTGTCCGTTTCCTAAAAGAAATCCGTAACACTGTACGGCATCAGTCTGGTGGACCACGCCATGGCCGGCCTAAAAAGCTTCCTGGTCAATTCTTGGCTGCTGCCAGTGGCTTATGGGGCGACTCAATCCTTCGTTCCTAGCACTTCCGCGACGGCAGCATACTCGCAATTCACCATACCCGCCTCTGCCGATGTGGGTGCGAATTTGATCGCAAACATCGATGACCCCCAAGCGGTCAACGCACAATCCGTCTGTCCGGGCTACAAGGCCTCAGATGTGAAACATACCTCACAGGGCTTCACCGCTAGCCTGGAGTTGGCTGGAGACCCTTGTAACGTTTACGGAACGGATGTGGATTCATTAACCCTGACCGTGGAATATCAGGCAAAGGACCGTTTGAGCATCCAGATTGTTCCAACGTATGTGGACGCTTCCAATGCATCCTGGTACATTCTTCCGGAAGAGCTAGTGCCTAGACCAAAGGCTTCCCAGAACGCATCGGTTCCCCAGAGTGATTTTGCTGTCTCTTGGTCCAATGAGCCTTCTTTCAACTTCAAGGTGACCCGGAAAGCTACTGGTGATGTGCTGTTCAACACCAAGGGCTCTACTCTAGTCTACGAGAATCAGTTCATAGAATTTGTTACGTCGTTGCCTGAAGAATATAACCTATATGGCTTGGGAGAGCGTATGAACCAGCTGCGCCTGCTGGAGAACGCCAATTTGACGCTGTATGCCGCAGATATCGCAGATCCCATTGACGAGTACGTGCCTGGCAATTGGTTCGACCTATTTAGATTTAAGCTAATACGGATACCTCTAGTAACATCTATGGACATCATGCATTCTACTTGGATACAAGATACTACGAGGTGGATGGTCAGAAAAAGACTCATACCCTAGTCAAGAGCAGCGAAGCGGAACCATCTCAAGAATATGTCTCATATTCTCATGGAGTGTTCCTCAGAAATGCGCATGGACAGGAAATCCTGCTGCGGGATCAAAAGTTGATCTGGCGCACTCTGGGAGGAAGCGTTGATCTGATCTTCTACTCTGGCCCAACTCAGGCAGAGGTCACCAAGCAGTATCAGCTCAGCACCATAGGACTCCCTGCCATGCAGCAGTATAACACACTCGGATATCACCAGTGCCGCTGGGGTTATAACAACTGGTCCGAGTTTGAAGACGTTCTTGCCAATTTCGAGAGATTCGAGATTCCTTTGGAGTACCTCTGGTAAGAAACATGTTCCTCGCTCATTAGACTCCGTCTGACGCCTATATGCAGGGCCGATATAGATTACATGCATGGATATCGCAATTTTGACAATGACCAATATCGTTTTTCATATGAAGATGGTGAGAAGTTTCTCAACAAGCTTCACGACGGTGGACGTCGCTGGGTCCCGATTGTTGACGGGGCTCTTTATATCCCTAATCCTGAGAACGCTTCTGATGCGTAAGTGACCATCTTCCACACACTCTTACCCGTAAACGAAGACTCACTGTGGCTATAGGTACGAAACTTACGACAGAGGCGCCAAGGATGATGTTTTCATCAAGAACCCTGACGGCAGTCTCTATATTGGCGCTGTTTGGCCTGGCTACACTGTCTTCCCCGATTGGCATCACCCCAAAGCCTCTGACTTCTGGGCCAATGAGCTGGTCACCTGGTGGAACAAGCTCCATTATGATGGGGTCTGGTACGACATGGCTGAAGTTTCGTCCTTCTGCGTAGGGAGCTGTGGTAGCGGCAATCTGTCAATGAACCCGGCCCACCCACCGTTCGCTCTCCCCGGCGAACCCGGGAACGTCGTCTACGATTATCCCGAGGGCTTTAACATCACCAATGCCACGGAAGCAGCCTCGGCATCTGCTGGGGCGGCAAGTCAATCTGCAGCGACGTCGTCCACAACTACATCAGCCCCTTACCTGCGTACGACACCTACCCCTGGAGTTCGTAATGTTGACCACCCTCCTTATGTTATCAACCATGTCCAAACAGGCCATGACCTGAGCGTTCACGCCATCTCACCAAACTCTACTCATTCGGATGGGGTTCAGGAGTATGATGTACACAGTCTCTTCGGCCACCAAGGCATCAATGCAACCTATCACGGATTGCTCAAGGTGTGGGAGAACAGACGTCCTTTTATCATCGCACGCTCCACATTTGCCGGCTCTGGAAAATGGGCCGGTCATTGGGGTGGTGATAACTTCTCCAAATGGGGATCGATGTTCTTTTCGATCTCGCAGGCCCTTCAGTTCTCGCTCTTTGGCGTCCCTATGTTTGGCGTGGATACTTGTGGTTTCAATGGCAACACTGACGAGGAGTTATGCAACCGATGGATGCAGCTCTCAGCGTTTTTCCCATTTTATCGCAACCACAATGTTCTCTCTGCAATTCCCCAAGAGCCGTATCGGTGGGCATCCGTTATCGATGCCACCAAGGCGGCCATGAACATTCGCTATGCTATTTTGCCGTACTTTTACACCCTGTTCCATCTGGCCCACACCACGGGATCTACAGTCATGCGCGCACTGGCGTGGGAATTCCCGAATGATCCCTCTTTGGCCGCGGTCGGCACTCAATTCCTCGTCGGTCCCTCGATCATGGTGATTCCCGTTCTTGAGCCACAGGCAGATACGGTCAAGGGCGTCTTCCCAGGCGTTGGACATGGGGAAGTCTGGTACGATTGGTATTCTCAAACCGCTGTCGATGCAAAGCCTGGTGTCAACACCACGATCTCAGCACCACTCGGTCACATTCCCGTCTTCGTTCGTGGTGGTAGCATTCTGCCAATGCAGGAGGTTGCGCTGACCACGCGCGACGCTCGCAAGACCCCCTGGTCTTTGCTTGCCTCGCTGAGCAGTGATGGAACTGCTGCTGGTCAGCTCTACCTTGATGATGGCGAGAGTGTCTCCCCGGAGGATACACTTTCTGTAGACTTCCTGGCGTCTAAGTCCACTCTCCGAGCCTCTGCTCGGGGGACTTGGAAGGAGGCGAATCCACTAGCGAATGTGACGGTACTTGGTGTGACTGAGAAGCCATCCTCGGTGACCCTCAATGGCCAGGAGCTCTCATCTGACTCTGTTAAGTATAACGCCACCTCACAGGTTCTCCACGTAGGTGGCTTGCAGAAGCAAACGGCGGATGGTGCCTGGGCGAAGGAGTGGGAACTGAAATGGTGACGGAAGCGTAATCAGACAGCCTAGATCTACACATCACCTGTATGCAGTTACACATTATGAAGTGATGAATGAAACATTGCAGCGAATCGGACATCAAGAGCATGGAGCTGATATTCACGGGAATGAATATCCCGAAGCGTAGGCGAGAGTCAGACCAACGTAGCAAAACCTCCGAGACGACAGCCAAGTCCATCACGGATCCAACCCGCAGTATCCGCATTCACGAGCGCAGGAACATCGCTGAGCATCGGACGCACCATCCAAGCAGAAGCAGCAAAGCGAGAAAACCCAAGGAAAACGTCGGCCCGTCGGGCTTTTCTGCAACGCTGATCGACGGCCGCGATCCAACCAACTCGCTTCAGAGTGACTAGGGGCGGAAATTTAATGGGATTAATTTCAACGCTACCACAAATCACCGTCGTCGCCGGTATTAGCCTGCAGAAGGTAAATTAAACTGTCCTGCGAATCGCATGGATTCCCCGCCCCTGGACCTGCAGGTTAATGTAGGTCATTTGGCAAGGCGAGGTATCACTTCGTATAAATAGCAAGCGTGCATACTGTGGAGGTAGATAGCAACAACAACAACAACATCAAACTCTCTATTCCCTGAACGATAACCCTAACGGAAGACTTTCAGGATGGTCGCCTGGTGGTCAATATTTCTTTACGGTCTTCAGGCCGCCGCACCCGCTTTGGCTGCAACCCCTGCGGACTGGCGATCGCAATCTATCTATTTCCTTCTCACCGATCGATTTGCAAGGACGGATGGATCGACCACTGCGGCTTGTAATACCGAGGATCGGGTCTGCTGCTCCCTCCCAGCGTTCGGGAAGTGGAAACGAAACTGACTTGATATAGAAATACTGTGGTGGAACATGGCAGGGCATCATCGACAAGGTAAACCGCCTCCACATCCAAAAGAATAATACCAAAAAAAAAAAAAAAGAAGTCTCGTCTAAACCATCATGTAGCTGGACTATATCCAGGGAATGGGCTTCACAGCCATCTGGATCACCCCCGTTACAGGCCAGCTGCCCCAGAACACCGCATACGGAGAAGCCTACCATGGCTACTGGCAGCAGGATATGTAGGTCCATTCCTCTGCGCACCCACCCATCTGTTACGTAGAAATGAACTAACTTGGTGGGTTTAGCTACTCCTTGAACGAAAACTACGGCACTCCAGATGATCTGAAGGCTCTTGCTTCGGCCCTTCATACGAGGGGGATGTATCTCATGGTCGATGTGGTTGCTAACCATATGGTTTGTGGACCTCTCTTTCACTAACTTCGCAAGCATACTTGATTTTCATACTGACAATGTAAACCCAGGGCTATGATGGAGCGGGCGCCTCCGTTGATTACAGCGTGTTCAAACCATTCAATTCCCAAGAATATTTCCACCCGTTCTGTCTCATTCAAAACTATGACGACCAGACCCAGAGCGAGGATTGCTGGCTAGGAGATAACAGTGTCTCCTTGCCCGATCTTGACACCACCAAAGATGAGGTCAAGAACGAATGGTACGAATGGGTGGGATCATTGGTATCGAACTACTCCAGTAAGACCTCTACCCTACAATCCAACTCATCAGCCATACTTACAAAAACCCAGTCGACGGCCTCCGTGTCGACACAGTGAAACACGTCCAGAAGGACTTCTGGCCTGGATACAACAAAGCCGCAGGCGTGTACTGCATCGGTGAAGTCCTCAACGGTGACCCGGCATACACATGTCCCTACCAGGACGTCATGGACGGCGTACTGAACTACCCAATGTATGACTCCCATGACTCTTCTTGCAGTCTCACCCTCTAACAAGCCGGATGAAAACCAGTTACTACCCCCTCCTCAACGCCTTCAAATCCACCTCCGGCAGCATGGACGACCTATACAACATGATCAACACCGTCAAATCCGACTGTCCCGACTCCACGCTGCTGGGCACATTCGTCGAGAACCACGACAACCCACGATTCGCTTCGTAAGTCTTTCCACCCATACCCTCAATCCACCCACCTAACCAGAAAAATCAAAAGTTACACCAACGACATCGCCCTCGCCAAGAACGTCGCCGCATTCATCATCCTCAACGACGGAATCCCCATCATCTACGCAGGCCAGGAGCAGCATTTCGCGGGTGGCAACGACCCCGCGAACCGCGAGGCCACTTGGCTCTCAGGCTTCTCGACAGACAGTGAGATCTACAAGCTGATCGCGTCCGCGAACGCCATCCGGAACCATGCCATCAGTATCGATACAGGATTCGTGACCTACAAGGTAAGCAACCCCCCCCTTCTCCTGTATCTAGTGCATGGTACAGAAACAAGAGAACTGACGAACCGGGGATACAGAACTGGCCCATCTACAAGGACACCACGACGATCGCGATGCGCAAGGGCACCGACGGCTCCCAGGTTGTGACTATTTTGTCGAACAAGGGTGCGTCGGGCGATTCGTACACCCTCTCTCTGGGTGGTACGGGCTACACGGCCGGCCAGAAATTGACGGAGGTCATTGGGTGCACGACCGTGACCGTGGGCTCGGATGGAACTGTGCCTGTTCCTATGGCGGGTGGGCTGCCTCGGATATTGTATCCGACTGAGAAGCTGGGAGATAGCAAGATCTGTAGTAACTAGCGCGTGAAAGGTGGGTAGGATTGGTTATATTCGGTCTTTTGTGTTTAGAATGAATTTGTTGGATCCGACATAACAAACCAACTTCACTGTAAAAAACCACCCGTACCAAGTACCCTATAATCTTAGATAAGGTCAATTTCGACGTATATATCACGCCAACACAAAATAGGCAATATCAGCTATGGTCAGAATTGGTATTCTATATTGGAATACGAATACCGAGAAGGACAACTTATAGCCTCGGCCCATAAATCTTGAAACCTAGATGAGGGTCTTCCATCCATCGATACCCGTAGATATCCACTTGCGAGAGGGAAGGCACCTATTTCCCCGAATTTAGGGACGGGTATGCTATGGATTTGCTTAGTAGGCCGGGGTTGATTCGGTAAATTGAATATGGAACGGGAAAAAGGAACTGGAAAAGTGAAAGAATGATGGACAATATAATCTAATTAAAGACAATTATTATGGTGTATCGTCTATATTAGGTCTTGGTTTATGTTATCCAAGTATATCCTCTCGTAAAGCCATAAGACTACAAGTTCCTCTTAAGCTTGATAGAACATAATATTCGAATTTGGTGACGTATCCTGTATTCCACTTGTCGACTATGCTGGTAAGTACCTCATACATAAGCCGATGTTGAGAGAGGGGGGAGGAGAGTTGCCAAATCAAAAGTATACGTATTACAATCTAATACAGTAGGGGGTTTAAAATTGAAGGAAAAGGGACATTGTATTAAGGTACGGGAGAAGTATCGGATATCCAATATTAAATACGCGCCAGACCATGTAAACCCACCCCCGGCCCAAACCGTCAACACCCGTTTCGTTATAGTATTATTACGGTATCGAAAAGCTGCTAATATGGCGCCGATCCCACAGGGATGGCCTCAGTCACAGCCATGCCACTAATGACATTTTCCGGAAATGACTGTGGCATGACATCAGGGATCAGCTGCTCTAAACCGCTATATCCCTCAATCATGCTATCCACCAGGGGTTGCACGAATTGTACCTGTTCCATGCTCATCTTCCGGGCATCTCCGAACGAGCACTGAGAACCATCGACTGCGCTGCAAGGGTCGTTGCATTCGGCACAGCGACGCTTGAACTCCGCTATCATGCATGAAAACCGGTATGCGATGTGGTCTTCGTTTGGCGACAGATGCAGCAGAAACATCTGAATCTGGTCGATGAGGGGGTCGAGGAAATTGAAGTCGCAAAGATTTAGAGCGGCGTAACCGACGATGAAGTATACCTGATCGACCACTCTCAGTGCGGTGACGAATCGGAGTTGCAGGAATTTCGAGATGATCAAGCGTGACCCCTGGAGAATTTCCGACGTGAGTCTTTCGGACTCTGCCTGGAACCTTATTGCTGTTCGATACAAGAGGATCTGACAGAACCAGAGACTAAGCTCAAATGTTGAATTTTCATCACCAGCTGTTGGATGGTTAGCATTTATACGAGGTTGGTCCTCATAGCTTAGCCTTACCAAGGAGATGAGCCCATTCAACCTTCCACCGTTCGATCTCTTCGTACTCAACATCCGCGAATCGCATGCGTTGTTCGTTGGCTTGGAGTCGTAATGTGATCAAGTACAGCTGAATCTCTGCCACGACCTTGCCATCCTCAACCGTTGCAGCGGGGTGCTCGAGAAGTCGTGGGCAATAATCGAGATATCTCTGTGGTAAATTGAATGGACGTGCGTTGCCAACAGCGAAGCTATTGCTGCATTAGCAGGTTTGAGTAAAACCGGAAAGGTTGTACCTACTGTAACTGTGTCAAGCAGAAAGCGTTCCAGAGCCGTAATTGAGCGGCCATATCGTTGTCAATTAGAAGCTCTGAAGGCACCTGATTGAGAAAGTCAAAGGAGACGAGGGCATGATTGATTGCAGTCCCGCTCAGTAACCAGCCATCTATGGGGAACTCCTTCTGGCCTGCCGCTGGCCATAGACAAAGAAGGGCGAGTGCCTGGAGCGATTCGTACTTCAAAGGCGGTTTCTCCCACAACAGATTGATTGCCTTATGTCGAACTTGGAGGTTCATGGCATGGAGTATTGGTGGTGGTATGCCTGGCACATATCGGGAAGCTAGCAGACAGGCAGTGCTATATAGTAATGAATCGGTTTTTCTCATCTCGTTGTGGAAGTCGGACGGATTATTGATGGACACTAGGGGACCGAAATTCTCCACAAATCTAACTCAAGCATTAGCGGCTATAGAGGCGGATGGATGCGATGAGTGATCATACAGCTGTACCAACTTGAGAGATAACTTAGAATCTAAGACACCCTTCTCAAAGCTATTACCCAAGAAAGGGGATTCAACAGGAATGCGGTTTGTCTCCCCAAAGAACTCAGATTGGAGGTCCTGAATCAGCCGAACGGGCCTAGGTAGGAAAGGGCCAAACGAGTTTCCTTCAATGGAGGCTGTGTCTTCCGTAAGAACACTCCGAGCCAACGGAGGTACAGAGATATTAGAGACGCTTGGTGATTGATTCAAGATCTGTCGGAGCATGCCAGTCATCTCTCTCATACTCCTCTCTAGGGAAGTGAGACGCTCCTCAATGGAGGGGATAGCTGTCGTTGCGTCTGACCACATTGGAGTACTGTCTTGAAAGCGCTCACTTGTCTCAGGGAGCTGACAGTCGATTCTATAGAAACATTAGTACCCAAAGAAAGGCTTATTTGGTCTTGGCAGGACATGGGATGCCCCAATTTGACGTAAGAGATTCGGTAAAGTGGATAATGGTGGCACCCGACCTTAAAGATAAACACCGCCGGCATGCATGCCCTCGTGGATCAAGATCGCACCGAGTTTTAAGCTTGCGGCAGGTATTACAAGCGGTCATTGAACGTCGAATGCGGCCCTTTGGGCGTGTCGCGTCGTCGCCGACATTAGAGATGATTCTTCTATGGTCGTCGGACACATGCACGCTCTTGTGCTCCCACGAAGGGGCCTCATATTTGATAGGTTCAACAGTAGTTCTAGTCATGACATCAGACGACGGATGTAGCTTGTCGCGTTGATGAAATGAATAATCGGCGGGCAAAACAAGCTGAGAGCAAGAAAAATTGTGGAAACCAAGTCAGGTCCCGTGCAAATCCTTGAGAATCCACACAGGTGGGGAGGGAATTGACCCTTTTAACAGCCCACGGCCGGGTGTGAAGAGGAGATTGTGCTAGCTTACAAGCTGCTGACGGAATAGGCTCCTAAGATTGATTATCCATTTTGACCTGGGGTAAATGCGAACTAACCGGAGCATTTCAGCCAATCCGTGCAGATCCGAGTCACTAGGGTGTGGTTTCTAGAAGAATAGAAAGGTGGTTTGGCGTACTAGGGACTGCAACAAGAGAGGGGTTGATTGACATGCGCCATTGTAACTGCGCCTCCGATGTAAGCCGGTTCCATAGGGAGTCCCGCTTCCATGAGGGGGTTGGATTGGGCTGGCTAAGGTTGACGCCGACCTGAAATTAGCTAAGGACTGCCACTAATCGTGACCTCCGGTGATTTGTCGATTGCGTGTGTCTCTTATCATGGCGGGTTGAAGATTGTGATCGGGCATACACCCCCAAAGTAGAAGGTGTGTGTGACCTTTGCTCATTCGTCATGATTCAGGAACAGCCGTTTTTCTTTTTCTTTTTTTTTTTTTTTCGTTCATCCTTAATTTGTCTCTTCCGTGGTCTCTCGTGTACGATCCGGATCACCTCTCAGGGACACGTCTGAGCGTCGTTGCTGATTTGAAGAAGCCTGGGTGATCTAAGATAGGAGGCAAGCCGATCACGCAGATCATGAGATATCAGATCCTTCGAAGTATAGGCAATAGGATACGCGCGATTGCCTTATAAACCCGTATAAACTGGCTTTTGCTTGAAGATTTTTTCCCTTTACCTCAAACAGCGAATCCTGCAATGCAACCTTGATCCCCTGGTTCAACGGTTACCCACGGGCTTGTTCCTGGTTATTGCATAGTGGCATGATAGCGTTCTGCCACCCGCACTTAGGTTTCTTAGCCAACAAAATCAGGGCATTGCTGCAGTTCTGTTCGCAACACCCTTGACCGCTGGTCTGATGCTCATCAGGCACGGCCGTTGAGGAGTGGCTCTCTACAATTCATCCCGAGTCATCTGCTTCTTGTCAGGGATTTGCATCCTTGCACAAAAGCGGAACCACTATATTAATTAATGATGTCGTGCTATTAAGGCTGGGATTTCGGATATTCCAACCGCAGGATTGAAGTGGCCACCAGTTGTGGAGCTTGGCTTGGGGTATACCTTCTCAGCGGTGCCGCCCGTCGATAAAGTGGAACGTAGAATCAAACTTCGAGCTAACACTGTTTGACTGGATCGATGAGCGGAGGTGATGCAACCTTTCAAAGCCCTTCAATTTCCGGCAACATTCGGTGATCTGACCGTCGCTCACCAACTTGGCCTTCTCCCTTAACTAATCGACGTTCAAGAAGTTTAGTGTGTCAAGCAATTTTAGTGCCACGCCAAACCGCAATTTCTCCGGCATTAGACCCTTTAAGGAACAAAGCGCATCTGTACCAATGATAGCCAGAGGGGTTGTTGAGGGGAAAAAAAAAGACGCATATTCATTTATCTTGCCCTGGTTTCTTCACATGCTACCGACATTTCGCCAACCACATCAGGTCAAGGCGCTTGAGGATGGCGTGCACCAAGGGTGTAACGTAAAAGGCACGAACTGGGCCCTTTCTTAGCGGATGATCGATTGACAGCCAATCCTCAATCGTGCGTTGTTCATGCCAAGCAGGTCCCCGTTCAGGCTAATCCCGTTTGTGGTGTGGACACGGTTCAGTACGAGGAACTGATCTGCACCATTGGCGATTGAAGCCGTCGTAGACTCCACTGGCTTGATAGGATGGTTGCATCGGATATAACGTGTCTCACATGTTATCATTGGGCGACGCTTTTGATCCATCAGTAATAAACATTTGCCAGGATGTCGAATCACAACTCTGCTTTATGACCGACTAGGAAGATATCATATCGTTGACGACCCGGATGTGGGTTGTTCGGATATCCCCGAAATCCAACAGCAGCCCGTAGTCTGCAGTATCGCCATTCTTATCAAGTATCACAATATCGTACCTGCATCTGTCTATATTAACTGATTAGTTGGATAGAGGAAATTATGGGTCATTCATTGCTAGTCTCGGCATCCTTTTCTGCTTTTAGAACATTTCACAGGAGCGAAGACGAGGATGATAATTTCTGCGCTAATGACTAGTGCGTGAGCACGCGGTTCAAACATACACGGAATCAAGCACCGTTTTAACTTCACGCCGCAGGGATCCTCTCTCGGCCATTCGGCGTGGAGCACTCGGCCCATTTTAGTCCTAAGATCAGATTCGGATAAGTGAACCGCACGTTGGTATCTTCGCAGGTGTCGGATGCCATAGGACGAGCTGGAGACTCACCGGCAACCCAGAGAATCAGTAGCCATAAGGCATACCTGACCGTGTTCCTTTTGTGTTGAAGGCAAGTCTGTCTAGGTAGGACTGGTCGCATTGATAAAATTAAGTGGGGGAGGGGTAGGGGGGCGCAAGGATAGTGAAGTGATGAAGCGTGATGCAGCGCGTCCATGGAAGACACGGCGCACCTGATCTCGCACATGTTTCCCTGCGTTTCTTCCTCAGGCATGAGGCTCCATACCTCTCTAACGGTAT